GTTGAAGGCAAAGTGTAAATCGGCAACTCTGGGACTGTTGGTGGTGGTGATGTTGATGTCGTTATTAGTTCCTCATCCTGTGTTGCTGTAGCTTCATCATCTTGGCCATCAAAGTTGAACTCCTTTTCCGCCTCGTAGTTGAGCTTTTCGAGTGATGGTTTGGTGGTGGTGGAAATGGAAGGCGTACTTGATGGAACTTCAACAACTATTTTCTCAGTGCTAACCTTTTGATCTTCCTCTTCTTCAAAGTCCTCAAACTCCTCCTTTTCATCAGTTACAACTAAAGTCCTTTCGGCTGGTTTTTTGGTAGTGGAGGTTGATGATGGTGACGGCGGCTCAGGTGATCCAAGAGTTGAACTTTCGGTGGAAAATTCTTCAGTACTGCCCTCCTCTTTGCCCTTCGTTGTTTCCTCATAGTTCTCAAAGTTGAACTCTTTTTCCTCCTCAAACTCGGTTTTTATGAACTTTTGTGCTTCCGTTGTTGAAGGTGTTTCTGGCGGTGGTGTAGTTATCACTTTCATCTTTTGGGTGGTTTGCTCTTCCTTCGAAGTTGGCACTTTATGGGTGAAAACGCCTGACCGCTTAAAGCCCTGGAATTCTTTGTTCTTTGGTGTTTCAAATTTTTTAGTGCTAGTAGATGAGGATTTTGGAGTTTGAGTAGAAGTGGTGATAATTTTTATTGGTGTTGTAGATTTTGGGGAAGGTGTTGTTGAAGAAGGCTTTTCAGAAGTGCTGGCTGCTGAAGTTTCCTCCTGTTCAAATTCTTCTATAGTGGACACCTCTTCTTCTTCTTCAATTTCAACTTTTTGCGCTTGAGTCGATTGCTCTTCTTTTGTTGTTATTGCCTCTGTTGGTGCAAAAGTTTCTGCTATTTTTTCTGTTGATGGCTGAGGTGTTGAAGAAGGAAGAAGGGCCGTTTGGCTCGGACTCGGTGGAATTTCAAAATCCGTCTCGTAGTCTGATTTGTACTCTGTTTGGATGTACTTTTCCGGTTTTGGGGTTGAAGGTTTAGAAGAGGTCGTTGTTGAAGGGGTTGTTGCTGCTGTTGTTGTTGGTGCTGAAGTTGAAGCTCGTTCATGGAATAATTTGTGTGTTGAGGAAATTTCTGGAGTTGGTTTTGGAGTTGATGGTGCTGGTGCTGGAGAAGATGGAGTGGACACCTCTGTGGACACCAGCTGATCATTGTCCTGNAAAATCCGTCTCGTAGTCTGATTTGTACTCTGTTTGGATGTACTTTTCCGGTTTTGGGGTTGAAGGTTTAGAAGAGGTCGTTGTTGAAGGGGTTGTTGCTGCTGTTGTTGTTGGTGCTGAAGTTGAAGCTCGTTCATGGAATAATTTGTGTGTTGAGGAAATTTCTGGAGTTGGTTTTGGAGTTGATGGTGCTGGTGCTGGAGAAGATGGAGTGGACACCTCTGTGGACACCAGCTGATCATTGTCCTGCTCAAAGTCAAACTCATTGTCTGATTCAAACTCGAGCTTTACTGATTCGTCTGCTGTTGAAGAGGAAGGAGGAGGAGAGGTGATTTTTACTGTCGATGTTTGGAAGGGCGTGGTCGGGGCTGGAGTGCTTGGAGGTTTGGTTGTTGGGAGTTCTGTTGTTAGTAGCTCAGTTGATGGAATTTTGGTTGTTGGGTGTTGAGTTGTTGGAGCGGGAGTAGTCGGAATTTTAGTTGTTGGATGTGGAGTTGTTGGGGCTCGGGTAGTTGGAACAGGAGTTGTTAGGTGTTTTGTTGTTGGGTATTGGGTTGTTGGATGCTGAGTTGTCGGGTGCTTTGTTGTTGGGTAAGGTGTTGAGGGATGTGGAGTTGTTGGGTGTGAAGTAGAGAGCACAGTTGTGCTGCTCAGAATCTTTACCTCCTCCTCCTTCTCCTCCTCCTCCTCCTCATTTCTGTCAAAATTGATTTCTTTTTCTATTTGAAGGTCAACCTTTTTGGTTTCTGGCACTGGAGTGCTTGACACAATTTCCACCACTGTTGAAAGTTCCTCCACCTTCTGGTCAAAGTTGAACTCTTTTTCATACTCGTACTCTACTTTAACGTTCTTTTCAGCTGTTTTCAGTGTGGTTTGCTCCACAAATTCAGTGAATTTTTCTGTCCTTTCCAGTTCAACCTGTTCCTCTGTCTCCTCTTCGATGACTTTGTGATCTTCAGTTGTGCTGGTGGTAATGTTATCACAAACCCAGCGGCAGTTCACCCCATCAACAGGCGGTGGCGGCAGACCGGAGAAAATGGGCTTGGAAATCATTGAATTTTGAGCCTCTTTTTCCCGTTTTACCTTTTCCTGGTTCCTCCTCAGAACGACAATATCCTGCGCCGTAAGGTGCAGCAGCTCCAGCAGGCCCCGGTCAATTTTGCTCAGGTCGGTGTTGCCGTCACTCAGAAACTGCTTCTTGATCAGGTAGGTCAGTCGGGCGAGGACGTCTTCGCATCGAGGTTGTTGTTGCTGTTGAAGGTGAAATTGTTGCTGTTGAGGTTGCAGTTGTTGTTGAGGCCGTTGTTGAAAATGTTGTTGAAGTCTTTTGGTATTGCTGGTCGAAGGTTTCTCGCGATCACGACTGTTTCCAAGCTGTTGTTGTTGCTGTTGTTTTTGTTCCGAGTTTTGTTGTTGGTGTTGGGGCTGTTGCTGCTGTTGCTGCTGCTGCTGATGAAGGTCCTGTAGAAAAAAACCAAAAAAAATGAGGGTTTAAAACCTGAGACCTAATAGTAATGTTTTTTTTATCTTATCAACCTTATCATCCTTATCACCAGGCAGGTCCTCATTTCTGGACGCCGTGCTCGCCGCACTGCCCTGGTGGCGACTGTAGAAGAGGTAGGCGGCGGTGGCCAGCGCCAGCGGAATGATGACGGCCGTCCACTTGACCATCTTCGCTCAGCTTTGATGAAAAAGGTAAGTTTAGTTAAGGTGGAGCTATGACAATTTTTTTAACTATGTTAATGACTATCGTCTACCTGTTGATTGGCTAGTGTTTAAAGTACACACAACTAGTGCTAGGCTGACTGCTGTACAGTTTAAAGTGGGCGTGAACTTCTCTTTCTTCAATTACAGCAGTTGATGATGATGATGATGACGTAGTAGTAAAATTTTTAGTTAAATTTTTGCTGCTGCTCGCCAAATTAAAAAATTGAATATAAAAAGGCAAACAAATAACTGAACAGTTTCACTTTGCTCACTTTTTTGCTCTTTTTTTCAAAATTGGTTGTGCTCTATACTACTTTCTACTGTGCTCAACGTTTAAACTCAATTAATTTTGCTTGCAGCTGTCGGTGTAATTTGTAATTTCAGTTGGAATTGATTGATTGGTGGTGGTGGTAGTGGTGGCTGCTGACGTATTAGTTGACAAATTAAAAGAACAGCCTGAAGAGTAGAAGAGATGTCAAGGAGAGGGTTGAACGCGATGCAACGACTTTTCAACGAGCCATTTAAGGGGAAAACGATTCATTACCCATTTAATAAAAAAAATGGCCGCTGGTGAAATGAAACAGTTAATTGCTGAGGTGAGGTGAGGACGAGACAGATGATGATGATGATGATGAGGTAAGGTGTGTTTGTTTTTAGTTCACTTTTTCTAATTTATTATCTTTTTTTACTTTAGATTTTTACCCACACTTTTTTGACGTCTGATTTTGCCAGGTAGCTAAATTGCTGCCATTACTGTGGCTGGAAAAAAGGTGTACTAGTACTGAAACTCAAAATCATTTGGTTGGCAAATGGTTCCTTTTCTCTTTCTCTCTAACTTTCAATACCATCATCATCAATTGAGAATAGGCATTTGAATAATGGCAAATGAATATAAACTAGATTTCTGCTTTCAATTGCATTTCAAGGTCTATTTAGAAAATGTTTTTTGCCTGAAATGGTAATTGTTTTTGAAGGTGGTACCGGTGGTGATAGTGGTGGTGGTGATTGAAATGGCGGTAAAGTGGTGATTTGATGGATGCTGGTTTTTTTCGGTGTCGATGAAACCTAAGTTTGTTTAGAGTTAACTGAAATGAGTTCAGTTTATAAACAGTTGAACAATTAGGCAATTGAGTGGGCAGCATTTTAGGTTTTAGTAAAATTGGTAAAATATTGGTACACAAACAAGGTGAACATTTTGAAATTCATTTTTGATTTTGAGTGACATTGATGTTATTTGCTGTTTTTTAGGTGACAATAAATTGTAAATAGGATATTTTAATTTTAAAGTAATTTTTACTGTTTTAAATTGTGTTTGTTGATGCAAAAAAACTGTTTACAATAAATAGTTTTGAATTACAGAACAATTAAAATGACGTTTAGGTGTTGTTAGGCAATTTTGAGGAGTTTACCAAACTAGAGCACGTATAAAATGATCGGCAAATTTTTTATAATTTGGTTTTAGTTCAATTTTTACTTTAACAGACACAAATTTATAATTTAAAATTATTTTAAAAATTATTAATGAGCTGTATTTAAATGTTAAGTTTACTTCAAACTAAAACTACTAATTTTTTTGTGACTCTAATTTTATTTTTTATTAGAAAAATTTGCCATTATATTTTGTAATTTTTTAAAACTTAAAATAAGAAAATTTTTATTTTGTTTATTCGAATCAAAACTCAATGTCGGATTAATTTAAAACATGATCAATCATAAGCACATTCTAAACTTTTTTAATAGTGCAGCTCCTTAATCTGATCAAAGTTCTCCAGCATTTTCTCCATAACTGTTCTCGTTTCATTTGGCAGCATTCTGTTGCCACCACTACTACCTAAAGTCAGCGCTTCCATGTGCTCTAAAAGTTGCTCAAGAATGCCCACTAAGGAATGAATCCAGGATTGATTCTCCGGTTCTGGCACTGGATTATTATCATCATCAGCAGCATTGGTTTCAGTCGTTTGAAGTGCATCGATGGTAGCTGATGTGGAGTTTGAGATGGTATCGTTTTGCTGATCCTCAACAGGTCTGTCAATGATGATTATGTTGATCAAACCTCGAAGCAGAGTGATGGCCCGTTTCCAGAGATTGGTTATCTGCTCAACCTCTGCTCTGGGACCGATTGGAATCATTGACTCGAGCAGAGGGGTCAGTTGGCCAAAAGTAGACTTAAGTTCTGACAATGTTCTCAGAACGCCTTCTTCAGCTGAAAAGTTGCTTGAAACAATGTCGACAATTGTGGGCGCTTGTCGCACAACTTCCCAGAACAGGTCAAAGTTTGGCGAAGAGAACTGAGGCTCATATGTGCTGGGACTTTCATTTTCTGGGGAGTTTTCAATTTGCTAAAGTAGAAAAAGTGAAGTTTTTAATGAAACTTTTTTTAAATTTTAGTTCAATAGGACTTGTTTACCTGACAGAAAACAACACTGATGAGTGAAGTAAATATCAACAGCAAAACGAGAGTTGTAGTTTTCATTTCAAGTTTTTTGTTTAACAAAAGCAGTATTATTATTTTGTGATCATCAATCAGACTAAAAACAGAGTCTCTCTTTCAACATTGTGTGCGTTTTTTCGTTTCACTTTTATTTTGATCAAGGTTAATACGCAGATGATCACAATTTATTATTGCCACAGGTGAGGGAAATATTTAGTTATCGGTACAGTGATTTTTTCAGAGGTACAGCGAAACTGCTGCTTTTTTCTGGTTCAATTGTCAAAGCAGTATTGCAAAACAGATGAGCATTTTTCAGGTTTAGTCATCAGAAAATGTGTTTTTGTTTTATTTAAATATTTAAATATTTAGCAAACCTTATGCGCACTTTTTGTTTATTTAAAATTTTTTGCATTTAAAAACTTTTTTACTATTTAGCATCTGAATACTTGAGCACCAGAGTGTCCTCCTTCTCGGAGTACACAGCTCGAGGCTCGCCGTACTCAAACAGCTCAAAAGCAAAGAAGACCGCCTCCTGAAGGTCCTCTAGAACTTCTCGTGGACTTTCGGTGGCCGGTGAATTTTTATCTTTATCTTCTTTTGTTTTGTTGCTAAACCGTTTCATTATCTTCTCAATTCCGTGCAGTGCTTTGCAGATCCACTTTTGAAGTTCACTGGGAGGATGTGATGATGACGAAGTATTTGCTACGACGATAGTGTTTACCAGCTCCTCCATCTGCTCAATTACCAAGTTCCACTGATTACTGATGGTTATCAGTTTTACTTCGTCAACTTTTGTCGAGTGATTAGAAGAGGAAGAAGAGGTTTTTGTCAGGGATAAAGGCAGATGATCGCTTATCTGCTGCAGAAAATCAAAGATTTTGGAGTCTAAACGAACAATAACTTTGCCTAGACCGGGGACGGCGGAAAACTCCTTCTCAACTAGCTTCAGAAGAGACGGCAAACTTTTAAGAATGTCGTACAGCATTTGAGTGTTGGTGGTCAGCGGAATTAGCGAAAGGTTATCCTCAAACTTTTCCAGTTGCTCTTTTGATGCAGTTTTAGTAGTGTTGTTGTTATCGTTTGGCTCCATTACGACGACGCTTCTAACTACCAAAGTGGTAGAATTGTCCTGAAAAAGAAGTTTTAAAACAAAGTTATTTGAGGTGTTATTCTGATAAATAAAATGCTTTACCTCAGCATAAGAAAATGTCAAAAAGAGAAGTAGGTCAATAAAGAGAAAAGTTCCAATTTGAAGTAGGTGCTTCATGTTTGATTTGATTCAATTTGGTGTACGTGAGTGCCAACTAAAAAGACAAAACATTGTGCTAGCAGTTTAAAAATGGCAGTTTTTAGAAAAAAGTTAAAACAATTTTTTTTATCAAGGTTAACTAAGTTTGGCAATCGCATTTAAAAACTATTTTTATTGAATTTTAAAAAATCTTTGACAGTTTTTTGCATGTTTTGATGGGCATTTATGCTGTAAAATATTATAAAATGGTTTTTACATTATTGGGTGTGCAGGATCATAATCGGGCCAACTACAAAGTAGTTTACACAATTTTAAATTTGATTTTACAAACTTTTTTTTCATTCTTTTAATGCGTTTTCTTTTTAATTCAACACAATAATTATAGCATTCTTGTTGGGTTTCAAACAAACGATAATCAATTAGATCGTTTTCATTTTCAGTTGTCAATTCCTTTTTGTAAAAAAAAATTAAAAACTTAGACAACTTTAAAAATGATTTGCTCAATATACTTTTACAACATTTGTTGTTGATTCAGGTAATGTTGTTGCTGTTGTTGTAAAACAAACACAAGTTAATAACAGAAAACTAAAAAAATAAAACTTTAATTTCATTTTAAACTTTTTAAATTATTTTCAAAAAAAAATTTGCATTGACATTTAAATAATG